TTAATAATTAGGTAATTTATGTGAAGAAAGTAATTGTTGGAATGAAACAAATTAATTTCAATTACATAACTTCTGGGAAAATTATACTGCTTCATCCCCCTCCCCCCACCCCCTCCCCCAGCACCAGACCACACCCCAGCACCAGACCCCACCCTCCCCCACCCCCAGATGTTAGAAGCTAAAATGATTTTTCTTAAGTTCTGTGCAAGTAGAGTTGGACTTGATAGATTTACAGGGGCGACACTAGGCTGGGGACAAAAGGAGATACTCAGGGGGCGTCCCAACTGGAAGGAATTTAATGTTTCCGTATGGTGGGGGGGGGGGCAAAGGAGTCTGCCCCTGATAGAGGATGCCCCACGTGAGCCACCTTGCCAAACACCTGCAATGCCCCCCCCTCCTCCCCCATAAAATTATCTCAATGACACACTGGTCCTAAAGAAATACTTTTCCTAACATTACTTGAATGGGTTAGAGAGGAAAAAGAGGGGGGGGGGCTCAGTGGATGACTTTATTCAGGGCCCAGATGCTGTTTATTCAGGGCCCAGAAGCTCTTAACACGGCCCTGTGTACAAAGTAAGACTGGTTTTTTCTTTCAAAATATCTGTGTTAATCATGCAATAGACATGATCTTGTATTATAAAATAATGATATATTTTGATCCATTAGAGTATACCAGTGGTCGGCAAACTCATTCGGCAAAAGAGTCAAAAATCAGCAGAAGGACGATTAAACGAAACAAATTTGAGAGCCAAATTTCTTTCATGGACCTGACAAGAACCATGTTTTTCTGATTCAAACCCGATTTGCGGTCGACTGGCCGAGCCGCACTCAGGTCAATGAGCCGCGATTTGCCGACCACTGGTTTGTACGATTCTTGAGAACAGTTAAGTTCGAACTAACTAGGTCAACATTAATTATCAAATAGTTTTCTAGTTTAAAATGAGATTTTCACATCAACAAATTAGTGGAAAAACAAAAAAATCCATACCAAAAAAGAAATTAATAAAAAAAATAATAATTAACAAAAAAAAAAGTAATATAATTATAAATACACAATTTGTGACAAGTGATTCAAAATCTTACCTAAAGTGACAATTTCCCACAGTACAATCCCATACGACCATCTTAGCAGCATTAAAACACAACATAAGTGAGATGAATGCAAGTAGCACAAGTAGTGCCACACGATTTAAAACAAACCCTGGCCCTATTTGGTTGACAATCTTATCAATTTAACACTAATTAAATTACAAGCATGCTGCAATTTTGTTTGCAAGCTTTAATAGTATTTCACTAGGATGCCGCTCGTTTCGTTTCATCTCGATATCTGGGTAAATGGGGTTAGAGAGTTTTCTCTTTATAAATGGTGCTCAAGTGCGCACGAGTGCTTGCTCGCGTTGAGGTCTTAGAGCACTTCTCACCCTGAGGTTTACGAATGAGTGCCAGGAAGAGGCATTGAACTCCACGGAGAGAAATGTCAAGTAATGCTGAGTTTTTAAAATAAAATTTAAAAAAAGACCCCCAGTCCGTTGAAGCAAACATAATGTCAAGTAATTCTGAGTTTTTAAAATAAAATTTAAAAAAAGACCCCCAGTCCGTTGAAGCAAACCCCCCCCCCCCCTCACATTTTTTTTCAGCACGTCAAGGTGGGCAGTAGACACGTGTACCAGTGAACTCTTCAGAACAAGTTAGCGATGCTATAAGTTTGTGCCTGAACATAGCAAATAGCAAACCCCAATTCACCTCTACCAGATACGCTATAAGATTGATGGCGGTGAGACGAAAAAACCAACAACCCACATCATCTCTTGTGTTCCCTTTCAGGTTCAGGAAATCTTATAGACACAGATTTTACGTGTCGACAAGCAACGATCATTATATAAGTGGCCGACAGATCTGAGCTTTTACTTTGTTTTTGTTTTTTGTTTTTTTACAGGCCTCCGCGTTCAACTCAAGGGGAGATTATTGAGATTCCAGGGGAATATAGTTTTTATGCGTTGTCTTATCCTTGACCTCAAAAATGCTTATTGTGTTTCACTGGCGCAGAGAGACATGCAGCGATGTCCATCAGGCAACATGAAAACAAGCAGCTATCAACAACAGATCGTTGCCAGTTGCCTCATAAACATAAAGTTATTTACATATTAAGCTAAGTGCCTTAAGTTATTTACATATTATACTAAAAGTCTTAAGTTATTTACATATTAAACTAAAAGTCTTAAATTATTTACACATTAAAGAAAAAGTCTTAAGTTATTTACATTATAAAATTAAAAGACTTAAGTTATTTACATATGAAGCCAAGTGCCTTCCGTTATTTACACTTACGACTAAAAGTTTGAAGTTATTTATTTATTAAAGTAAAAGTCTTAATTTATATACACTTTGTACTAAAAGTCTTAAGTGAATTACATATTGGACCAAAAGTCTTACGTGAGTTACATATTGGACCAAAAGTCTTATAGCTACTTACATGTCACTTTTCATCGTGTAGATCTGAGCGTACAGAGACTCAGGGGCCATCCATTTGACAGGCATGCGTCCCTTTCAAATAATAAATGTGGGTGAAATCATCATCGATTCTTACCGAGAGAGCAACACCACCCATCCCCAGACCACCAACCACGGTGATCAGCGTCTTTCCATCCCACTTTCCCGTCACACCAGTACCTCCATATCTAACGTTTTCCGCTTCACTGTCTCCACTAACAATCCCATGAACACATCCTCTAATCTCTTATCTACTAACATTTCAATAAACATAATCTCTAATCTCTACGTTATCTACCAACATTTCCATAAACATAATCTCTAATCTCTAAGTTATCTACAAACATTTCCATAATCGTAATCTCTAACCTCTCTTATCTACCAACATTTCCATAAACATAATCTCTAATCTCTACGTTATCTACCAACATTTCCATAAACATAATCTCTAATCTCTAAGTTATCTACAAACATTTCCATAATCGTAATCTCTAATCTCTCTTATCTACCAACATTTCCATAAACATAATCTCTAATCTCTACGTTATCTACCAACATTTCCATAAACATAATCTCTAATCTCTACATCATCTACTAACATTTCAATGACCATAATCTCTAATCTCTACGTTATCTACTAACATTTCAATCAACATAATCTCTAATCTCTACATCATCTACTAACATTTCAATAAACATAATCTCTAATCTCTATGTTATCTACTAACATTTCAATCAAAATAATCTCTAAACTAAACATGCAGGTTTGTAGTTCTTTAGATTCCTGATCCCTTTTACAACTGCACCCCCCCCCCCAACAACCTTGTATTAATTTAGACTCACTTTGCTCATTTTTAAGTATGTGTCTGCCTCGTACACATCCCGACTGAGGCCAAAGTCTGAGATCTTCATCTTTAACCCTTCAGTCACCAGTACATTCCTTGCTGCCAAGTCTCGGTGGACAATCTGAAGGAAGTAACAACATTAATTAAAAACATAAAACAAATACAAAAATGTGATATCTTTCGAGGATGTTACACGGTGACCGGATTTCCGGTTAATAGTTTTGAAGCCGATAACCGGTCGTTGATTTCTTGTTTTTTTTTAAATTTTGTTGTTCTAGAAAATAGTACAATTTTTATTAATTTTTTCGATTTATAAATCCAGACTTTTTGAAAGCATTATTATTATGTAAATAAAATAATTAAAAACTGATAAAAGTCCACACTGCGTCCACTCCACAGACACCTCCACACCGAGTCTACTCCAAAGACACCTCCCGACAGTCCACAACGAGTCTACTCCACAGACACCTGCCGACAGTCCACAACGAGTCTACTCCCCAGACACCGCCACACCGAGTCTACTCCACAGACACCTCCCGACAGTCCACAACGAATGTACTCCACAGACACCTCCCGACAGTCCATACTGACTCTACTCCACAGGCACCTCCACACCCTCTTACGATCGGGAGCGATTAAAACAAAGTATAGAAAACTCACTTCAGGAGAATAAAACAGGAACTTTTGTTTGCAAATGTCCACATGAAATGTTGGCTAGTAAATGTCCACATGAAATGTTGGCTAGTAAATGTCCACATGAAATGTTGGCTAGTAAATGTCCACATGAAATGTTGGCTAGTAAATGTCCACATGAAATGTTGGCTAGTAAATGTCCACATGAAATGTTGGCTAGTAAATGTCCACATGAAATGTTGGCTAGTAAATGTCCACATGAAATGTTGGCTAGTAAATGTCCACATGAAATGTTGGCTAGTAAATGTCCACATGAAATGTTGGCTAGTAAATGTCCACATGAAATGTTGGCTAGTAAATGTCCACATGAAATGTTGGCTAGTAAATGCACACGTACATGTTTGACATTAATTGAACACGGGAATGTTGGCTAGGAAATGTACACACCAATGTCTCCTAGTAAATGTACACACCAATGTCTCCTAGGAAATGTACACACCAATGTCTCCTAGTAAATTTACAAGACAAAGTTTTTTACTGAATGTACACAAGTCTATTTTGCTAGTGAATGTACAAAAGCCTATTTTGCTAGAGAATGTACACAAGCCTATTTTGCTAGTAAATGTACACAAGTCTATTTTGCTAGTGAATGTACACAAGCCTATTTTGCTAGTGAATATATACACATTTTTTTTCTTGGTTGCAGGTTCCTCCACATGAGAATATTTTTTTTCCATTTCATTGCACTTTGAATGTCTAGCTACTACACTAAAGCCAATATCATGGACAATGACATTCAAGGTCAACATAAAACACACAAGAAACAAAAAGGGAATTGAATATATTTTAGCAATTTTTAAGATAATGTTGAAGCTTCAAGTCATTAATAAAGAAAAATAATGTATATACATTTATTATATATATATATATATATATATATATATTATATATATTATAGATATATAAATATACATATATATATATTATATATATGTATAAATATACATATATATATATTATATATATATATATAAATATACATATATATATATTATATATATATACAGTATATATATAAATAAATAATNTATATATATATATATATGTATATATATATGTATATATATATATATAATATACATATATGAAATGCATGTGATAAAAACTATATGAGGCAAACAAAGGACATATTTTTAAAGAAATACCATGAGCCAGCTGGTAAACATGTATTCTTTTAGATAATTATAGAGTTCTATTTTTATCCCCTCGCAACAAATATCGCTACTGAAAGGGTTTTCCCAGTGGGCGTCCACCCAAAAAACAAGTAAGCTGTAAACAATTAGTTGTGCATGACCTTTAACACAGATCCCATAGTAAGTTAGTGTTTTTTTTTGTTAATGGCTGCGTCAAATAGGAGCCGGCCTGCTCAACCCTTTTGTCAAACTTTTCTGCCCTTTTCAACATTGTCTGCCCTTTGGCAACATTCTTTTCTCATTTGCAAACTTCTTTGCCCACTATCAACCTTCTCTTCTCCTTTCCACCTTTTCCGCACTTTATCAGCATCGTAAACGCAAATGCGACCATGCTAAAACACTTCTGAGAGAGCTGCATTGGGCTGCCGGTCCCTGCTCGCATTGAGTACAAAATTGCAACTCTGTGTTACCGCGGCTTGCATGACCTGGCGCCGGCCTATCTCAAAGCGCTCATGACGCCTTATGTACCCACTAGACAACTCCGCTCATCCGATTAGTGGCTAACTCTCGATACTGCGTGCTCGCCGCGAGACCTATACGGAAGGTGCACTTTCGCATTTGCTGGCCCAACAATCTGGAACACCATTTTTGTCGCTCTCAGAAACAGCCGGACACCGGAATCCTTCAAAACCGATTTGAAAACACATCTATTTGGCAAACATCTGCTGTGGTGATGTTGTCTACCATCTTTTCCAGTTAGCCATTATCTCCTAGATGTATATTGGGATGTGTTTTTTATAGTTGCAAGGGATGAAAGACTTGGAATGGGTTTGGCTCGTTTGTAGTGTTGTGTTTGTAGTGTTGCGTTTTGTGTTATAATGTGGTAAAATAGAGATGGTTTCATTTGGGTATGCTCGTATGTAGCTTTATAGTGTTGCGTCTGTTTTTAAATGTGGTAAATTAGAGATTGTTTCATGTCTCCTTTAATATGGTTGACTTTGTACCGCGCTTCGAGCCTTTGGGGATGAAGCGTGATTAAAAAAAAAAAAAAGAAAAACGTTATTACTATTATCATTATTTCCCTCTGCCCTCTGTCAACCTTATCAGTGAGAGGGTAAGTACCTTTCAGCTACTCAGAAGTATATCCGCTCAGCACTGGTATGTGCGCATTCCTTAACTCTAAAGCTGACCAGTTGTCCACATCTCTGACCATGGCGTTAATGTGCTAGATATATGTTTTGAAGTGCTTTGTCCTTGACCTTTGCAGTCTATTTACATGTTTTTGTTATTGGTTTTTAAATCGTGTTTGTGAACAACAACACCAAGAAACGCTTGCTTGACTACGGAAATGCCCGGAAGGCATGTTTTTCTACGATGGGGTAATATCTAACATCTGTTCCAGCAGAAAAATATAGCGGATATTTATTACTGTCTAAAAATGTGTTTAAATTGAACTTTCGGTTGCCACCTGAACAGGGTGTCACTAGAATAGGGTGTCATTAGAAGAGGGTACCACCAGAACAGAGCGTCACTAGAACAGGGTGTCACCAGAACAGGGTGTCAACAGAACAGGGTGTCAACAGAACAGGGTGTCAACAGAACAGGGTGTCAACAGAACAGGGTGTCACCAGAAAAGGGTGCCATTACAAGAGGGTACCACCAGAGCAGAGCGTCACTAGAACAGGGTGTCACCAGAACAGGGTGTCAACAGAACAGGGTGTCAACAGAACAGGGTGCCATTAAAAGAGGGTACCACCAGAGCAGGGTGTCACCAGAAAAGGGTGTCAACAGAGCAGGGTGTCACCAGAAAAGGGTGTTAACAGAAAAGGGTGTCAACAGAACAGGGTGTCAACAGAACAGGGTGTCAACTGAACAGGGTGTCAACAGAACAGGGTATCACCAGAACAGGGTGTCACCAGAAATGAGTGCCATTAGAAGAGGGTACCACCAGAACAGAGTGTATACAGAACAGGGTGTCACCAGAATAGGGTGCCACCAGAACAGGGTGTCACCAGAAAAGGGTGTCATTAGAAGAGGGTGTTACCAGAATAGGGTGTCACCAGAATAGGGTGCCACCAGAACAGGGTGTTACCAGAAAAGGGTGCCATTAGAAGAGGGTGTTACCAGAATAGGGTGCCACCAGAACAGGGTGTTACCAGAAAAGGGTGTCATTAGAAGAGGGTGTTACCAAAATAGGGTGTCACCAGAATAGGATGCCACCAGAACAGGGTGTCACCAGAAAAGGGTGCCATTAGAAGAGGGTGTCACCAGAATAGGGTGTCACCAGAAAAGGGTGCCACCAGAACAGGGTGATACCAGAACACAGTGCCAGTAGAAGA